AGCCACGGCTGCCTCAGCCTCGTGCTCGCCACGGCAGCCTCATCCTCGGGCTCGCCACGGCGGCCTCATCCTCTCGATTGGCAGCAGCAGTGACCCGATGGAGATACGGACGGCGGCGAGCAGGAGAAAGAGCGAATGGCGATATTTTACTTCTGTACCAATCTGAGGGGGTCATCTGCAAATATAACAATGAGAACACTTGGTTAGTACCATTTATGGACTTAAATGACAGCAAAACATAGATTAGAGACTTAAGTAGTCATTTTGAGAGTTCATGTACCGGTTTGACATAGCCCAACAAGTTTAGGGGCCGGCCATGCACTTTGCTCTTGTTCCAGGATAAGAGATTAGGTGCTTTGAATAGGTTCAAATCAAAAGGTTGCAATATCATTACTTGCACAGACGTTGCAAGCCGTGGTCTTGACATTCAAGGAGTTGATGTGGTCATTAATTATGATATTCCAAGTCCCAAGATATAATTTGGTTGTTTTAATACTTGTTGGTAACCAATTTGAATGATTTATTTTCTTATTACTTTACAGTATGATTGTATGAATTTCAATGTTTTAGATTTCCTGTGGTTTCAAATCTTCACATTAATGCAGTCTTATGTACATCGGGTGTGTAGGACTGCACGAGCAGGGCAATCTGGATATGCCCTGTCTTTGGTGAATCAATATGAAGTCTTGCGGTTCAAGTACATTGAGAAGCTCCTTGGTAGTCGTAGTTCTAGTTCTCCTGTCCTTTTTGGTAGTTTGCATTATTTCCAAATTATTGTTCATATTTACTGCTTTTGCAGGCAAAGAGATTAGCAAGTCCGAGGTAGATGATTGTGAACTCAAAATTCTAAAAGAGTGTGTGTGCGACTCAAAGAGAATTGCGTTAAAGGTATTAGCTCTTTCTTTGACATTAGTCAATTTCTCTTTAAGTTTTCCACCCTCCCTGTATCAATTGCTGCATCCATGCCCATGCCACCTGTACTTGACCTGGATTTTCATATTATGCTATCGCCTGTGTGCACTTTAAGTTGAAGGGTGATGGCTACAAGAGACCAAGAAGCATGCAAGATGATGAGGACGGGATGGAAGGTCATGATCGCTTTTCTTCCAGGAGATCATCAGGCCTGTTCATAAACAGATCCCGAAGACGGTGATATTTCTCTGCTTCTGGCTGACTGAGCCTCGTCTAGATCAGATAAGAAGGACAACCTTTTTCACCTGTTGCACCGTAGTAGGCAGTGACATGCTGTATTGCTGTAGGCTTGAGTCCACGCGTTGAATGCTCGGACATGGATTTGTAAGTACTTATCGTTTGGGATGGTGAGCTTTCTGGGTAGGGATGAAACTGATCAAATACGAACGGATATGTTGGATGTTGATACCTATAATATCTATCCCGTATGCGTATCGAAATTATGACTTTGACTATTAGGATTTGGATATAATAAGTGTCATTCTTGCTCATCGAAGAGTCAAACGTTTTTAACTTTGATTAAATATATACGAGAAAATACTAATATTTATATTACACAATTTGTACATAAATAGCTGAATCTATTTTTATAATAAGCTTATTTAAATATATATAAATATTATTAATATTTTCTATAATTTTAGTTAAATTTAAGAAAGCTACAATACGAATACCATAGTGGCACTTATTTTGAGATGAAAAAAGTATTTAGTATTTCCTCCGTTTTAAATTATAAAATATTTTGCCTTTTTCTAGGTACATAGTTGTTGTTAAGAACCTAAGATATATGTACACTATGTTTAGAAATATAGTTTTTACTATGTTTCTAGAAAAAAGCTAAAATATTTTATAATTTAGAACTAAGAGGAGTATATGCTAGTCAGTTTCCACTAAAGTAGAGTGGCCTTTGGTTATCTGCAACACTAATGCTCCAGCGCAGGCGTCCGTCCCGCATCCATCCGAACGGACGCTTCTAGCTAGGCCGGTGAACCGGTCCACGGTCCTCCTCCCCTCATGGTATATACACGGTTAGTAAAACAAAAAGAATAGAGAGCGACACTTTCCCTACCGAGCACCGACCGCCGTGGGCGCCTCTAGTGCATTGCTCGCCCTTCACTCGCTTTCTCCGCCGCTGGGGCCGCTCGCCACGGCCAACAAACCTGCCGATCGACCGGTGTTGTTGCCCTTCAGCTGCTCGCCCGTAGATCGGAAGACTGTAGCTGCCCGACCAGCAACTGCCGCCTCCACCACGGGGTCCGGACGCCTAGTCGGCAGCCAGGAAGACCTCTACCTCTGACGCGCGGCGACCCAGCGTCCACCTCCCGCTCACGGCCATCATCGGGAACATCCCGGGAGAGGAGGTCGTCGTAGGCTAGGCCCAGGCTAGGCGCATGCGCATCTGGTCGCTGCCAGGCTGCGCCACCATCCTCGGCCGCCGACTGGTTAGAATCGTCCATTCCTCGCTCTGCTCTGCGTCACACGGAAGAATGGTGAAAAATGCTTGTTATAATCTCACATTTCAAATGTTTCAGGTGTTTTAGAGGTATGTTACAAGCATTTTCATACGGACGTTGCAAAAGTAAATCGAGATGTTGCATATGTTACAATGGTTGTACACGTATGTTGCAAGAGTCTGTCTCTCAATGTTTCATCTGTTTTTTCAAACGTATGTTGCAAACGTGTTTATTTGATGTTGTATATGTTTTCACACATATGTTAAAAGTATTTTATCTAGATGTTGTGTATGTTTGTAATGGGTTTTAAGTGTTTTTGCAAATGTTTCAAATACATGTTTCAAGTGTTTTATCTACCTTTTTTATATGTTGCAAGTGTTATATCCGAATGTTTCAAAAATAGATAGGGTATTGCATACGGAATGCGCGTAGGAAGTGGGAGAGGGTGCGAGCGGTCCCCGTGCGGATGCGAGGCGCAGGCAGGTGACGTTTGGTGATGCGGGCCCCGCGTGGCCCCGCGAGAAGTAGGTGCGGGCGAGCAACGTCCGACCGGCGTGGGCCCATGCGTGGACGCACAAAAACCAACTGCAGCCGTGGGTATCGGTCCGCGCATCCGGGTGACAGCAGCACCGTATTTGCATTATCGGCACTAATAAAGTGTTTACAGGCTTCGAGAGCTTTTTGGCTCAAGAGCTGTTTTTTTGCCTTCTGTCTGTTATTTTTTTTTGCTATATTCCTTGGCAGCCTTCTACTGTCCTGGTACACATCAAATGCCTCTAACAACTCTACGTTAGAATCTAAATGCACTTGCTGCTGCCTAATTTTGTGAAAGTAAGTGACAAACAATGCTTGATCCTTCCAATGACTATCTCGTCAGCAAGAAGCATCTCATGAAAACTAACCCAACATGTATCCTTGTCCAGCACGCGTTGTGTTAGTTGTCACATGATAGACTAGCTTAGTTGGTTAGGTTTCTTGTGGTGGAACCTACCCACCCACATTTAACTCCTCGATTTGGCACGGGAACTCGTATTTTTCTGGATTTATTCCAGGATTTAACGGTGTTGTGCTTTCAGTGGTATGCGATGTTCCCGTCGATAGCGATGCGCCTAGCGTCTATGTCTGTATTTGTGTAATTCGCAAAAAAAAAAATCATCCATCCCAATTCCCATCAGACCTTTGTTCTACACAAGCAAGAACTCTAATCGCCACTCTGCAATCTGTGCTCGGATCCATCTTAACATAAAAGTGACAAAAAAAAATGCATGAAACAAAATCAAATAATGCGCTTACGATATCCAATGAGATATACCCAAAACACTATCTAACGAATTGACTACCCTAGACATATGAATCAAACAAGAAAGGCGGAAGAACTAACCGTTTTGGAACCCATGTTAATACAAGTGGCTTTGGTTGAGAATCCTGGCACTGCCCAGACTTGATTGATAGGGGCTTCATCTTTCGCGCCTGGGCACCTCACAAACGGCGGCTGCTAACGTGTGTACAATGGGCATGGACCGAACGGGTTGGACACTGAGCAACGACTTGTGTTCAAGTCGGACCGTGTGTCCCAGATACAGCTCAAGGGAAACTAATGATCATTTTGAAACACTCTCTCTCTCCTCCGCAGCGGGAAATGATATTTTTATTAGGCCCAGTATCTACGAGCAAATTTGACAAATGATAGTGTCCTGCAAAATCCAATTTTTTCCGTGTCCTGTGGTAAAGAGAACTAACTTTGTGTGTCCTGTGGTAAATTTTGCCGCCATTTTGATTGATCATGTTTCTTTTGACTAGCTCATAGGTGTTGTGTGGCCATCCACCTTCCTAGCTTGGGGGTTGTCGCCGCCACCTAGGGTTCCTATTGATTAATTGGAATTTTGAATGGGCATTGAGGACCCATATTTGCTACTTGAACTAAAGGCCTTCTCACTAGGTTGGTGTTTTCTTCCTTTTGCTGATGTGGTCACATACTCTTGCGTATAGACTAGTGAAATGTACGTCTCTGATAAAGTTGAGACCCGTCTGTGATTAGAGAGTTTGACATAGTGGCCGTCAGCAAAAACATCTTTTTACTAGTGTAAAGTTCAAATACAAGAGCCTATAGTGTTTGGCATCTGCTCCCGTGCACCAATACATGGTGGGGCCTCTCAGTATAAGTTTAAGTGGAGTGGCCTCTCCTAATACGTTTTTGGAAGATAAAAATGAATCAAGTTAATTCCACTAATCTAAGGACTTTTTTAGAAATAAAAAGTAAAGGAAACACAAAATAATGGTAACGAAAGATACACAAAAACAATAATAATTTAAACAATATTAATTAATGGAAAGAAATGCACATATGAGTGTGATCTCGATCGCGTGGATAAAACACGTCCTGATTTTTTTTTATGGAAAGAACACGTCCTGATAAGACAGACAGTGTAAACGGTCCGACAAAAATGTGTTAACCGCTTCTTCCCCGTCATCAAAACCGCTACACCCTCGATCGCCCGCCATTTCTCTCACGCGCGCGCGCGCTGGCCTCCATCACCCCGCGGCGGCGCGGCGCGCTCCGCCTATACGTACGTAATGGCCGACGGCGCCCACAACGACGACTGCGCCGACGGGCAAGGGATCTACGACTCGTTCCTTGTGCCGGACGGCTTCGATGACGACGTCCTCTACTTACTGGACATGAACGGCGGCATGGACCCGCCGCCGCCGCCACTGCAGGCAGCACCGGCGGAGCAAAGCGCCATCGCAGCAGGTCCTTCCGGCGACAATAATCTCCTAGAGTGGCCGCCACCGACGCTGGACTACATCAACGACTCCGTCGACAACAACGCTCCTACACACAGTGCCCTGCTAGCCGACGATCCTACAAGCGGTGCGCAAGACGTCGGCAATGCAGCAGGTACGTCGGCGACCGCACCAAGGTCGTCGTCGCGCTCTGCCGTGCACCAGAACGCGTCGCTAGACTGCACCGGCTGCCAGGTTCTTCGAGAAGTTGTGCACTGCAACGGTAGACACACGTGCTACTGGCGGCATATATACTTACATTACATATGGACGGACGCGATCGATCAAATTAACACTTACGTCTTGGCTGTGAATTTCCAGGGCTTGAAGCCACAAAGTTTAGTATCCATGGGATCGCCGCCGGCGTGTTCCACCATGCAACCCTAGAGGTGTATCGCATAGACTCCAACGGCCTGGCAGCGACAATGACAACACAAATGACGCATCAGTCCTACGTCGAGTAAGCTGCTTGCATTGGACTCCTAGATTTCATCATGCATGTTGCCTTGCAATTTTTTGAGATGCATCATGTAATCTGGTTGCATGCGTTGATGATCTGAGCAGTTTCAGGGGCCGGGACTACGTGTGGGTAAAGCACTACCTGACGGACTACGCGCAGCAGCGTGCTGGCGGCGGCTACGTCGTCCTGCAGGACTCGATCTCGGCGTTCCAGGATGCCCTGTGCACCAGGATGATCGTCTGCGGTGGCCATACCGACGACGACCATCGTGAAGCAGTAGCACCAGAGATTAATGGTGGCCACACCGGTGACCACCGTGAAGCAGTGGCACTAGAGACTAATGGCGGCCACCAACGAGTATTCGCCTGTCCTGCTGATGACGGCGCTGTGCAGCGTGCTATGGTCGAGCAGGGCAACGACGTGCCAGCAGAAGCGCCTGCTGCAGGTTGGCTGCTGCACAACTGATCATGCATTTGCTCTTGTCGTTTTAATTAAGTTTTCATCATATATTCTTTTGTAACTAATGTTATCGTACGAAGTCTCCATATATACCATTTCAAATCTACAGGGCCATCTAAACCAGTTGCTAAGGAGCAAGGACGACGATCATCAGAGACTCGCCCGGCTGCCAAGACTGCAGTCGCGATCCAGGTATATATCTATCTATCATTGTACATCATGATCCATAAGTTTTAGTGTGCCACCTGGTTTGTGAAGCTAATTTAGAACTATTGCACGCCACGAAAACTTTAAGAATTCAGATGTTTTGTTGCAAGCTAGAAGACCAAAAGGTCGCCAAGAACCTGCTTTAACAATATATATATACTAATACTAATGCATCTCACACATCAGACTAATCAACTGCTTTCTGGCGTATTGGGTAGGGTCGGAGGTTTATGTTCTAGTGAGGTTTTCTCCAATCTTTGACATATTGGAGGGAAGGCCATAGTTAAGGCACTCACGGCAGTCGATCGGTGGGTTGTCACACCAGATCAGGACAACCAGTGGGGAGTAGGGAGAGTGCGGGGTTGTTTGGCAGGGCTCCTCCGAATGAGTCACAATTTGTGAGTCTTCCAAAAAGGATCTGGCTTCTTAATTTTTCACTAAAATCGAAACGTTTGGTAGAGCTTCTCCAAAGGAGCCGGAGCTGAGAAGAAGCCTTACCACATAGGCCTTTAGTATGGCAGTGGCAAAAAGGTGCACCCGACGGCAGGGGAGCTCCAGGGAAGGAGTAAAAGGGAGGGAAGGGGGCGTGAAACAAATCATGTGTACCACATCTCAAAATTGATTTCCAAAAAATCACAAAATTCCGCCCGTTCCAATTTGTAAGTTGTTTGAGTTTTTCTAGATTCATCACTTTTGCTACGTATCTAGACACCATGTATATTAAAGTGCATAATAAAACATATGTACCTAGAAAAGACAAAACACCTTATAATTTAGAACCGATGGAGTAGAAAACAAAGCAAAAATAAAACATGAAGATTTGTTCTCAGACACCCAGTACGGCTACCTGAAAGCTTGTGTGTCGCCAGTCATATGACACGATTTTTCGCACTCGTACATCAAGCTTTGTATATAGAGCAAAATTCACCACCGGTCCCTCAACTTGGCCGGCAGTGTCATCCAGGCCCCTAAACTTCTAAAGTGATATCTGTGAGTCCCTAAATTTGGCAGATGGTGTCATCTAGGTCCTTAAACTTTCAAGGTGATCATTGCAGGTCCCTAAACTTGGTCGGCGATGTCACCCTGGTCCCTAAACTTTCATAGTGATCACCGCAGGTCCCTAAACTTGGCAAGCAGTGTCATCCCTGTCTAAATATAATAATATTAAATGTTTTCTATATTAAAAGTTACTTCTAATTTTAATATTATTTTTTTGAGAATAATTTTAATATTATTTAAAAAGTTTTAATAGTAGTATTATAGAAGTAACTTTTCACTGTTGTTAATACTATAATACTATAACACTATTATTAAAACTTTTAATACTATAATACTATTATTAAAAGTTCTAATACTATAATACTATATTAAAAGTAGTATAGTATTATAGTATTAATAATGGAGAAAATTGACTTCTATAATACTACTATTAAAACTTTTAAAATAGTACCAAAATTAGAAGTAACCTTTAATAGAGAAAAAATTTAATACTATAGGAATTTTAATATTATTTATTACTATTAATGATACATAAATATTAAATTAATTTAAGTGTTTTTCTATTTTAGTTTAAACCTAATATATTTGTAGAAATTTTAATATTATTTTAATACTATTATATAAATAATGATTGATTAGTCGACACATATTGGATCCACGACTAACATACAGTTAGTGTGCCACGCTAGCTTATAAGTAGGTTAGACCATATTTGGACAGGGATGACCTCGCTTGCCAAGTTTAGGGACCTGCAGAACCGGATGACACCGTCGACCAAGTTTAGGGACCTACAGTGATCACCTTAAAAGTTCAGGGACATGGATGACACCATCTGCCAAGTTGAGGGACCCACGGATATCACTTTAGAAATTCAAGGATCTAGATGACACCGTCGGTCAAGTTCAGGGACCGATGGTGAATTTTGCTCTTGTATATATAATCCTCCCATACTACCACACCAGATAATATATTACCAAATACTATTCTTTTATATTAACTTACTTATTATACGGATTTTTTATTCAATACTTGGGCCTCCAAATGTATCAAGTGAAAAAAATAGCAACTACAAAGTTCTAGACAGCATCGGACAATACAATTTTGGTGTAGGGCATGCATCCGTACGTCCCGTTGTTTGGAAAAATTTAAAGATTAATAACATAAAATATATATTTGTATCTTAAATGATCTTAAATAAAAAAAGTTAGCAACAACAAGGTTTTGAATCTCGTCAAAATGTACAATTTAGATATAAAATTTATCTACAACTTAAAATATTATGAATTTATTTGTGCAACACCTGTTTTTAGAGGCAGTCCATCTTACACAAACCATCCTTCGACAATCAATTTTTAGAGGTAAATGGTAAGATGGCTCGCTCCTGGAAATGATATTAGTATGGGCGGTTACCAACTTTCTTCTGACGATAACCACGTCTGAAAAAATGAGGTGCCTCTAAAAATTGTTTATATAGTAGTAACTCTATAGTAGGGTGGAGAAAGGGAATTTCTAAAATCATATATATGATGGACCATATATACAGCACAGGGAGAACGGCATCCAATCCAAAGAGAAAAGATGTTTAATTGTCCACCTCTTAATTATTAGGACAAAGCAACATTCATATTACTATGCCAATTAAAAAAGCATCTAATTAATTAAGAGGAGTTTGGTAATCTCATGTTGCAGAGGGAGAGAGCGAGCAATCTGCAGCTGGACGACATTGCGCGCTACTTCCACCTCCCGATGGTGGAGGCTGCCAAGGAACTCCGCATCTGTGCCACTGTCCTCAAGGGCACCAGCCGTAAGTTCCACATACGACGCTGGCCTTACCGGAAGGTGCCTAGTTAGCTCCTTCATTTTCTTCCTTATAATCTCTTGAATTTGTATCTCCTGATGATGATTTAATTTGTTACACACATTGTTACTATTGAAGTAATCAGCAATGGGGATTTACCTGTATGCAGGTTAGGAGCATTGACAGCCAGATCGCCAAGCTGAGAAGGGGCAATGGCGACCCAGCGGCCCAGAGAGAGATAGAGAGGCTCACCGATTACAGGAGAAGGATTTACGCCGGTCTGGAATGAATACTAGAAAACACTGTGCGCATTTTACCCTAGAAATAGTAATTGTTGTTAGCACCGTAGCTCCTTGAATCTTGTTGTAAAAAAGGCTGGTGAATGCCAAGATCAACATTCATTTTGCTTTTGCAAGGACTTCATACATGTGTGCTAATAATAGTGAAACGGATTATCATGTATGAAATTGATAACGGCAGCACTAACGCCCGGATGGACCCCCCACGTCCGTATGCCCACGCCAGCACCTGCTTCATGCACAGGTGGGGCCTGCTCGCGCCACTCCCCCACACTTTCCGGCTTCCCACGCCCCTCCATGCCTGCTGCGCTGCTCCTCTCCATGCACGGTGCCCCAGCAGCTATAACAGGCAACTGCAGCAAGTGGCTCACATTACAACATGCACACCACCCTCGATCTACTTTTGAAACATCTAAATAAAACAATTACAACATACGTACGAAACAACTGAAACATTCAAAACATGCTCCTAAAACACATGAAAAACACTTGAAAAATAATTGCAAACATATGGAACATCCAGATAAAACATTTACAACATATGTGTGATACATATGCAACATCTACTTTAACTCACTTGCAACATACGTCTGAAAAAATAGATGAAATATTGGGAATAGACACTTGCAACATACGTGTGCAATCATTGCAACATATGCAAAATCCTGATCTACGTTTGCAACATCAACATAAAACACTTGAAACATGCGCTTGCACCACCACCACCACCATCGCGATTCCAGCCGTCGGGGTCGGAGTCGGCGTTGCGCGAGCACCACCACCACCATCGCTAGCAGCACGGGGCTTGGCTCAGCCGGGCAGGCGGCACGCGCGATGGGCGGGAGCGAGCGGCGTGGGATGGGCGAGCGCGACAGGCGAGAGAGAGCAGCGCGGGATGGGCGCACAGTAGCAGCGAGGCGGGGTGGGGCGCGATGTCCGGACGGGAAGGCCGCAGCTAGAGAAGGCCAGCGGCGGGCGGGCGCGGGGTGGATGGGCCCGTGACGGGCGCATGCGTGCGACAGTGGAGAAAGAAAATGTCGCTGTGTTTTTTATTTTTTGAAGAAACCGCGTCGTACTAAAGGTGGAGCGGAGGAGGCCTATTGGACCCGATCGTTGGGCAGGCCCGGGAACGAGCCGTCTGGACGGGATACGCCTAGACGGACACCCATGTGCCAGCATTATCGAATTGATAAAAGATTGAAAGCAGAAAAGCAAGTTCAATAATAGTAGATACTGGACCCAGACTTACATAGCGTTTGGTTCACATCAATTTAACGGGATTTGATTACTATGAGTAACCGATTGCATGTTTAATGTTTGTTTCGGCCCCATGTAATCGAGATACACCCTTAACTGATAGCATTATGTACAAAACTAATACAACTCCATCCTCCGTGTAATCAGATATGCATGAGCCTGTTCGCTTGTTGGTTTTAGTCAGGGCTTATCAGCCAGCCAACAGTATTTTTCTCTCACAACAAACTAGCACTAGCTGGGCTTATCAGCTCAGAAATCAACCAGCGAACATGCTCATGGACTTATCGCCTTCTCCGGCAATCCTGTTCCCTTTGCATTTCCATTACCATTTCAGCAACCAAACGCCACCTTAATTGCAACCAATATGATAGTAGTATTATCCAAGTGCATAGCCAGAATTAAAATGCATGGAGGTGGTTTATAAAAAATTCGAAAAGATTTGATAGATGTGATAAATATCAGTACATGAATGAAAAATAAAAATAAACAGTGTCTCCCTATAAAATGATGTTGAACCCTGGAGAAATACAAAAGAGAGGTTAATTAACAGAAGTAGGAATGTATGGTTATTTCTTCTTCCATGAAAAAAAATGACCATGAAGTTCAGTATTCTACCCAAGACCTAGGGACAACAGAGGTAGGATCCGGACTTCGGGGGCTTTCCTGGCAAGTGGCAAGGCCAACAACAAACATTCATGATAAATATACACATATACATTTACTAACTTGGCATGAGCATAAAAACAATTAAATTAGCATTTGTTTTGCGACAGAAAGAATCCTAACAAACTAAATAAAGGAATATTGAAACTTATGTAGAAAAGGGGACAAAATGTAATTAGTCTTAAGTCCCTACCCTCCAACCAATCAATCTAATTCATAAGCAAAAAAAAAACACAGGAATAATGGGAACAAAGGAGAGGGCGAAGATAAGACGAAGAGTAATCCTAAATCATATAGATGCCACTGAAAATTGATACATACAAAGAGCAAACATGCAAAGTACTAATTACCATCATTAACTAGCTAACTGAGGGATGTATTATGTGGCCAACTAGGATGTTAGGTAAGCTAAAAAACACAACAATAACATGAATAGAGAGACGGAAGATAACATGAAGACTAATCTGAAACCATATATATGTCACATTGAAGATTAATACACAGAGAGAGCAAGCGAGAAAAGCACTAACTAACAGCAATAACTAGCTAATTGAATGTACTAATTAACTCCTTGATTTGGGGCTATATTGTTTTTCTTTTTCAGATGGGGGATGTAGGGCATGTTTGGTTCGAAAACGCTACCTCGACCAGACAGGCTTCACACGCGTCCAATTTTGGATACCTAGAGCCATAATTTATTGTCTAATAAGTATATTTGTCTACTAGTAGGCCTTAATCCAATCAAGCCTGTACTTTGAAGCACTTAGATGTAGGGTGCCAGCCCCTTAGTGTCCCTGTCCCTCTCTTCTCAATGCACCTACCTAAACCACACTATTTATCTCTCTTTATCTAAAGCATTTAGGGACTGTTTGGGTGGAACCCTGAGCAAGATAGCTATGCACATGCATAACCTAGGCGTGGAAAAACCAATGCCCAAGAGTGATGACTGGACTAGGCAGCTCTCAATTAAACAAGTATTCCATTTTAAGTTTGCTACTTTTATTATGTTGTGTTAAACTCAAAATGGCCTGTATGTGCATAAATTCAAGTAACGTCACCACAAAACAGATGGTTTAGGGATACGACAAAGGTGCAATAGCAAACTCCAATGTGGGTGGTAATGAACCATGGCCCAATTACCCTTTCACAAATCCAACTCAACCCTTGTTATTTCTAACTCACAATATAAAAATTCAGCCCATTCCTTATTGGGCCCAATCTTTCTTTAATATTTGCAGGCCAAATGTTTTGGCCCTTGAAAGCATCTAGGCCCCTAGTTAGGTTTCGGTGATTAATGAGACATAAGATTACTGTGACTAATGTGTGTTTTGTAGAGGCAACTTGAGTTAAGTCATGGTAATAATGATTGTTTGGGCAATTATGGTTTTCATGGCCCTATCGATGGAAATCGTTTCGGTTTTCAAAGGATGGACGTCAAGGTTAAGGACGGACTAGTTCTAAGTGTCGTTTAGCGTTGGAGAGACACTTAGAGTAGTTTAGGACTTTATTTTTCATTTGGCCGTACTATTAAGGGGGGTATGAACTAGTAGCTTGACCTAGGTGAGTCTAATGGGTTAGGTGTGGTACACACTTGTCAAACTCAGCACTAGGTAGCTCAGGAATAGCCCAAAGATCAATTGGAGTCAACCTCATTCACAAATGATTTTGAATTGGAAATGAATGGAGGGTCAAATGTTGATCGGACGCTGTTTTACTCATGACCGGACTCACTAGTGCCGCGTCCGGTCAGTGATCAACGCGCACAGCAGAAGCCGAGGAGCACAGTGATTTGAACCAGATGCGCCTCTAGTCGTATCTGTAGCAGTAGGGCCTCGCTGTCAGGGAGGACCGGATGCTAAATAGTAAACGATCGGACGCTGAGTTTGCAGCGTCAGGTCAACATCAGAGAGGGTCCAGAGACCAAAATTCCTGACCGAACGCGTCCGGTGGATGTTGCCCCGACGCTGGCCAGCGTCAGGTCACTCCAACAACCTTCCCTAATAGGTTGACGCCATGTAGCTGTTGGCTACTGACAGGACGCGTCTGGTCACTTCGACCGGTGCGTCCGGTCACCCCGAAAACTGCTGAGTTGGACAATAACGGTTATGTTTTAAAATTGGGAGTATACATACCTCTTCTACTCGTCCAACTTAGCACTCTTACAAATTTGTTCAGCTGAGAAACACCTTTGGAGTGCAAGAGAGAGCAATGGCCTAGTTGGGTGTTTGAGATTTGATAATCCAAGATTAAGGACCTCATTAGTGCATAGGGAGTAGCAAGTGTGCATCCACCTTTTTTATTAGGCTTGTCTTGGTCAAGTGAGAGTTTGTGCTTATTACTCTTGGTGATCACTATCACCTAGACGGCTCGGTGGTGATTGGAAACTTGGTGATCATCCGGCGGAGCTTGTGGATGACCCAAGTCATGGTGTGAGCAGTTGTGGGCGATTCACCGCGACGAAGTGTTAAAGAATCAGTCCGTAGAGAGCACTTGATCCTTGCGCAGATCAAGGGGGAGCTACACCCTTGCACGGGTGCTCCAACGATGACTAGTGGGGAGTGACGACTCTCCGATACCTCGAAAAAACATTGCCGCATTCCTCTCTTTCTCTTTACTTTGAGCATTTACATTTGAGCAATTTAATTTATGTCTTTACATTCTTAGAATTACCATGCTAAAGTAGGATTGAAACCTAGGGTGCAAAACTTTTATGCGGTAGAATAATATAAACACTTTTAGACAAAGGGGGTGAAATGGACTAAGTGTAAGATTTAATTATTGAAAGAAATTTAGAATTAGCTCAATTCACCTTTCTTGTGCACCTTGATCCTTTCAACCCTTTACCGGATCTACGTACAAATGAATCATTACTTTTTAAAAGGAAAGAGAGAAATTACGCGGCCTATCATTACTTTTTAAAAGGAAAGAGAGAAAATGGCCTATCATTACTTTTTAAAAGGAAAGAGAGAAATTACGCGGCCTAACCTCATTTGCAAACGGATTGCAGTTTCCAGTGTAAGGAATCCAGTACTCTTGTAAAATTTACTCATCAAGCTTCCAAGCTTTTGAC